GGGCACATGACCCTCTGGCCTTTAAAAGACATCTTCCTATAGTGACATGAGGTCTCTTAATGGGTGCCTGGGTGCTACCACAGTCCAGGAGTCCCTAAGTCCTCATCCAAAGAGTCTTGCATCCGTCCCTCACTGGCCAAGTCAGGCCCCCTTTCCTGCCTGGTCCTCTGATTCCTCATCAGAGCCCGCAGTGAAGAGGAACAGGCTGAAGGGTAGCAAAGCTTCAGCAGAAAACATGGAGGCGCTACTCAGAGGGAAGGAGAGTATCTCCTGGTGAACAGCAGAGGACCAGCAGGGAGGATGGGGGCAGGGGGGAGTCCCGCTGCAATCCTGGGGTAGGAGGGCTTGTCTCTGACCTCTGGTATTCCCCAGTGTCAGATGGAAGAGGCAGCCACAGCCAACATAGGCAAGAGAATTGTGAGTTTGACATCAGCCTGGGCTTCTTAGTGAGAGCCTGTCTGAAAAACAATGAAACTACATGGGAGCTGGGGAGAGAGAAAGAGAGAGAGGGAGAGGGAGAGGGAGAGAGAGGGGAAGGGGGAGGGAGAGGGGGAGAGGGAAAGGGAGAGGGAGAAGGAGAGGGAGAGAGAGAGGGAGCTCAGTGGGTAAAGTGATTGAAAATGATTAGGATCAGAACCTGATTCCCAGGACCCATGTGAAAATGCTGGCCATGGGCCAGCAAGATGGCTCTGTGTGTGAAGGGCTTGCCACACAGGCCTGGAGACCTGGGTTCAGTTCCTGGGAGCCCATACAAATGTGGAAGGAGAGAACTAGCTCAACAAAGTCATCCCCTGGCTTGCACATTTTAATAATAATAATTATTATTATTATCATTATTATTATTATTTAACTGGTGTGGACACAGGTGGGTTTGCTAGCCAGCTAGCCTAGCCAAATTGACAAGTGCCAGGCTACATAAGAGATCATGTCTCAAAAAACAAGATGGAGACACTAATGCCACCTGAGGTAGACCTGTGGACTCTGCACACATACACACATAAACACCAAGGAAACATGGAAAAGACAGCAGACCCAGCAGACAGCTGTTTCCATTGGAGCTCAGGTCCACGGAGGTGGGGGACATCACCCAGACAAGAAAGCCTCCACAGTCAGGGTGAGGAAGAGGGAGAAGGGGAAGAGGAGGAGAAGAAAGGACAGGGAGAAGACAGAGGCGGAAGATTGGGGGAAGAGGAGGAGGGACAGGAAGGCAAGCCCACATCTTAAAGTATTTAAATCAGAACTCCATTTAGCCTGGCAGGCGTCTGCCCCCTGAGCAGCAGGCAACCCCACCAAAGCAGGAGGCCGGCCAGCAGGGGATCGTCTGGCAGAGGCAGAATGGGGAGGCCGATGACGCCCTAGAGAGTTCCTCCAAAGCCCTCTACTCAGCACATCTGGAAAAGGTTGTCTGGAATGCCATCAAAGACCTCAGAGGAGCTACAGAGTCTGCCAAGGGCAGAAGAGGCCTGGTGGAGCAAAGCTACCCACCCCTCAGTGCCCGTGTCACTCCTCTGAGTCTGGCAGACCTCCTGCACCCAGCCCACCACTGCCAATAGTTGACTGAGAGAGGTTTGGGGGCACCCAAGGGTAGCGTCCAATACCATCTGACATCCACTGTAAGAGACACACACAAGCTAAGCCTATCCCCACTGCAGTGCAAGATGGAATAGGGGTCACCCCCATGTCCCAACTAGGAAACTGAGGCACTGAGTGGGGAAGTCCAGGTGGTTCTCTCTGCCTCCGGGTCTTTGTTAGTGCTGTGTCATAACACTTGACCCACAAAGGAGGAAGGGTTGACCTGGGTTCATGGAACCAAAGGCAGAACCAACCTAAAGGCAGCTGGGCCCATTCACTGCGCCTGCAGTCAGGAAGCAGGAGGAGATGAATGTTGGTGTCTGGCTTGCTTTCTCCCTCTTATTTGTTTTAAATTTATACTTAATTTTATTGCATTCGTTTCCCTCTCCCTCTCCCTCTCCCTCTCCCTTTCCCTCCCCCTCCCTCCTCCCCCCTCTCTCTGTGGTGGTAGAGTGAGGGGGTCAGGGGGATGACACAATGAGACCAGCTACAGAGAGGCAGATCAACTTTACTTGGGGTGATCAAGACTTATATAGTTTTGGGGACTTGGGATAGAGACATCCAGGATGGGCAAAGTTCATTGGCTGACGGCTTGGGGTACCGAAATGTCTCATTAGCATGAGGAAACCTTTCGAGAACCTCAGGTTCTAGCTGAATGGTTTCTTATCAGAAGAAAGGAAGTTGAACCTGTAATCTAACTAAGGCTACCTGACATTCTTCAGATAGAGGCGTGGGGGACGTGTGTGTGTGTGTGGGGGGGGGGGTGTTGAACTTCCCAGACAAGCTCAGAGAAGGGGAAGCCCTGGCAATGAAGGGAGTCCTCCAGACTACACCGAGCTCAGAAGGCTATCTGGTCAATGGCAGACTTGGTGTTTAATTAGCAGGGCAGCAGGTGTCTGTGCAAATAGTGCACGTCTGTGGAAGCCGCTCAGTCATCCATGTTGGTTTTGTCTTGGAGACATGGTCTTTCACTGGCCTGGAGCTTGCCAATTCATCCAGGCTGGCTATAGGCTAGGTAACCAGTGAGCCTCGGGGATCCAAATGTCTGCCCTTCCCAAGCTGCGGTTACAAGTGTATACCACCAAACCCTGTTTTTAACCTGGCTCCAGGGGATGGAACTCAGGTCCTTATGCTTGGGACCCAAGCGCTTTATGACTGAGCCATGTCCTTCAGTCAAGTCCTGTCCTTCCTCCATTCACAGGAAAATGTCAAATTCTTACTTTAAGTTTCTCCTTGCTCAATGCTGTTTCTAACCTCATACCTACCATATCCCCCCAAATGTACATAGACCCCCAAAATGTAGGTACCGCATCCCCAGTAACTCAGCTGGTATTGTGCCTCCAGAGAGCCAGAGGGCAGCAGGTGTCTACCTCCTGCCTGCTCAGTGCTGGGCTTACCAGCATGTGTCGCTGTGCCCAGCCTTTCACCATGGGTTTGGGGGATGGAACTCGGGTCTCCTCTTTATAAAGCAAGCTCTTTACCAACTGAAACACCTCCCAAACTCAGTTTAGTTTCTTTTTCTTTTGGGACAGTATCTTGATGTGTAGCCCAAGTTGATCTTCCTGCCTTAGCTAGAGAGTGCTAGGATTAGAAGCACACAACCAACCTTCCCGAGAGCACTCTCTCCCCCTCTGTCTCTTTTTCTATCTGTCTGTGTCTCTGCTTCTCTTCTCTTCCTTTTTTTTAAAAAAAATTTTTGACACAGGGTCTCATGTAGCCAAGGCCAGCCATGAATGTGTTATGTATCAGAGGATAGCCTTGAACTTCTGATCCTCCTGCTTCCACCTCTGAATACTGAGATTCTAAGTATGTCCTACCGTGCCTAGTTTATGCAGTGCCAGGGATGGAAATCTGGATTCTATGTGTTCTAGGTGAGCACTTTAGCACTTTACGGGCTGAGCCACATCCCCAGCCCCTTGCTGTCTAGGGCAGACCCAGGATCTAGGGACTAAAGGGACATTACTACCATAGACAAAGCAATCGAGGACCAAGGGAAGCAACTTGCAACTGATCCCAAGCTCAGTGAAGTGCCTTCTGTATTCTGTTTTCCCCAGCACTGTTCTATGCCAACACAAATCAAGGCGCCCAGGAATGCTTCAAAGGATGGAGAGAACCACAATTAGGCCCCATACAACTTCAGAAAAAATGGGAGGCGAAGCAGACAAGAAATAAGGAAACCTGAACGCTGGTATGTAAATGCTGCGGTTGAAACGTGGGCAGTGGGGTGAGCAAGTGGGGTTCTAAGTGAAAGAATAGGCTGGAGTCAGCTCGGGATGGGGCAGGGGGTCCTGCGAGCCTTCGCTTCCCTAAAATCAGAGTGAGGAATGCAGGTATGCAGCATGCTCAGGCCCGAACCGCACCAGGAGCTGCCTGCCACCCCCACCCCCACCCCCACCACCACGCGCCTCTTCCCTGAGAGCCTGGAATTGGCTCCTAAGCCTTTTGCCACTCATCAAAAGCCTGTGCCTCAGTGTTGATTAGAAGTTAGGTTCCTGCCCGGCGGTGGTGGCGCATGCCTTTAATCCCAGCACTTGGGAGGCAGAGGCAGGCGGTTTTCTGAGTTCGAGGCCAGCCTGGTCTACAGAGTGATTTCCAGGCCATCCAGGACTATACAGAGAAACCCTGTCTCGAAAAACCAAAAAAAAAAAAAAAAAAAAGAAGAAGAAGAAGAAGAAGTTAGGTTCCTGCGAGACTTCCATCATGGAGACTCAACTCCTCCTCCAGCAATATCTTGAGGCAGTATTCTGTCCCCTCCATTTTAAGGTAGGGAAACTGAGGCTTGCAGGATGTTTCTATCCTCATACCTACCATGAGAATCCCAGCCAATGAGACATCAAGGGAAATCTCTAGGAAGGCAGGGTTGTGAGAAGGTGGAGCTAGCGAGCTGTGAGAGGGTAAGAAGGATGACTGGGGATGGGCGTGCTTGAGGGGTGGGGCTGTGTGCGGGGGTGGGGCTTTCTGAGGGGGCGTGGTTTTGGAGGGTGTGTCTGTGAGAGGCCAGAGCCACAAGAGGGCATGGCTGTGGCAGGGCACCACTGTGAGACTGTGAGAGGACTGGCTGTGGAATGTGTCCTCAAGAGGGGTGTTGTAATGGGGTGTGGCCCTGAGTGGGCGTGGCTATTAAGGGGCAGCTCTAAAAGCTAGATTTCCAAGCCCATAATTTATTTACTTTCGTCGTTAGGCCCGCCATCCCTCTCCATCTCTCATCTCTTCTGTCCCCTCCCCGAAGCATCGGCAATAATCCCGAACAGTGACACTGTAGGAGCCTATCGCTCTTGTGGCACGTACACTTCACTTCTTGTTGATAGAATCTGTGCTCAACTCTCCTTTCCAAGCATCAAGGCAGCCAAGCCCAGAACTGTACTTGGGTCACATCATGCAAGAGAACAGAAAGGCAAGGCAGAACAGGGCACCCTGGGTGACTTTACCTCACGAGGTTGGCACAGGGCCCAGGCCACCGGCAGCTCTGGTAGACTCGCTGGACCACCGTTTCGGAGCCGTTCTGCACCTGGCAGGACACTGTCCTTGTCACCGTGTGATGGCACCAGTGCCTGTGGGGACAGCAACAGTTGTGTTAGCCTTGGCTGTTCCCAGAGGGTCCAGAGGCAGTGTAGAGGAGCATGCTATGGGGAAAGGGGGTACTGTCGAGATGAAATTCCCAACAAAGATAACTTAAAGAAGGAAGGGAGGGAGGGTTTATCTGGGCTCTGAGGGTCCAGTCCATCATGGCTGGTAAAACATAAGGCAGCTGGTCATGTTGCAATCGCAGTCAGGATGCAGAGAGAGATGGATGCTGGTGCTCAGCTTACTTCCTCCTTCTTATGCAGTGCAGGAGCCCAGCCTAGGGAATGAAGCTGCCCATTTGGACTTTCCACTTCAATTAACCCAATGTAATCAGAGATATGTCTCCTAGGTGATTCTAGACTCTGTCAACTTGGCAATCAATACTAACCATCATAATCAGACCTGGACCAGAACTGCCTGATATGGGACTCTTCCTAGAATAAGCACTCCGACATCAATGAGAATGGAAGAGTGATATCACCAGCGTAAAGGGAGCACAGCTTAGAGTAAGCATGGGAGAAACATGTCAATCAAGCGAGCTGGTCAACTGGAATGCCAGAATGTCAACCTGGCCATTCTTAGCTATTCTATTGTGCGCCAACCTCCCCAGAATCCCCACTAATATCCTGAGTATTGTGTAAGTCCTAATCCTGGGTTTCATCTCTCAGTGATCAGAGCCCATCCTTAGGAAAGAGGTTCCGTGTACTTTGAATTGTCTACCAATAGAATATATCCTGATGCTTAGGACTGCTCCATCCTCTCTAGACCCTAAGCCCTGAGCTCTGCTTATCTGCCAGTAGAACTCATTTTTATTGTAAAGGTCACAGCACATTGCTACTTTGCTAAGGAGTTTCTCTGTAGCTATGCCTAAGGCTTTATTGTGATAATTGTTACATGGTAATCGTTCCCCGGAGTTTTCCTATGCTTAGCTGTGTAAGAAGAATAAAACACAGGATCAGACTCTGGAAGTGTTTGACCCAGTGCCTGCAGAGATGTACTGCCTCGAGGTTTGTTCTTCACCTTGTGTGGATCGTCTCCCCGCCAGCCTTGCTGAAACCAGCAGACCGAAGCCAGGACAACTCCTGAAAGGCTTCTAGGTAGGGTAGGCAAGCAAGTGAAATTTTACAGAAGTCTCAGCAGGCTGTTAAGGGCAATGACCCCTTGTTTCAGCTATTCCTCCAGGTCATTCTGTTTCAGTAGCAAGTGATGTCCTCCTAGGCAAACAGGCAGAATGAGCAGTGCTTTAAGTAAATCACTATATAAGTCGATATCTTTTCTCTTTTTTCTTTCTCTTTCTTTCTTTCTTTTTGGTTTGTTTGTTTGTTTGTTTATTTGAGACAGGGTTTCTCTGTGTAGCCCTGCCTGTCCTGGAACTTGCTCTGTAGACCAGGCAGGTTCTGAACTCATAGAGATTTGCCTGCCTCTGCCTCCCAAGTGCTGAGATTAAAGGCATGTACTACCATCCAGGAATAAGCTAATATCTAATAACTGGCCTTTTCTACCTCACTCTGCTTCATGCTCTTTTCTTCAAACTCTCAGTTTCTCTGCACTCCATCTCCAAAACAGTCTCTCTGGGCATCCCTAGCTGGCCTGGAACTTGCGACACAGACCAGGCTGGCCTCCAACTCACATAGATGTACTGGCCCTGCCTCCCAGGTGCCGAGATTAAAGGCCTGTAGCACCACACCCAGACGAACTCTTGGTTGACACTGAACTGTGCAACTGGCCTGTAAAAGTTAATCTTTAGAATCACCTGGAAAACACATCTCTGGGAGTGTCTGCGAAGGCTTATCAGAGAGGTTTAATTGGGGTGGGAAGACTCACAGTGAATATGGGCGTCGCCACCCAATGATCGGGTCAGGGACTGAATAATCAAGAGGAAACAAGCTGTTTGCTTCTGTGAACAGCTGCCCCAAGGTCCTGCTCACATTCTCACCTGAACTGATCCAGTGTTGAAACTCCCTCACAGACACATCCAGTTTTGTTTCCACGGTACTTCTAGAGCCTACTGAGTTGACAATACAAACTATCAGAGACTCTCTGTCAGGGACTGAGGGGAGGCAAAAGCACTTCAGGCTCTAAGCCCTGGTGTCCTCTCAGTCACTGACCTGTGGATTCCGTGGAGAAGACTCAAGCCCACCTTGCCACTGAAGCATGACAGAGAAGGACCTGGTTACAGAAAAGATCCAACCTCCTGATGAGCACAAGGAGCTACAGGAACTGAGCAGGGTCAATTCTAGGAAAGGCTACCATCTAAGCGCCAAAAGATCAATCCATTAACTGCAGTTCCATGGGTCATCAAGGGACAACATTAGCACAGAAGGATAGATGTGGGTCAGAGTAAGGCTGAAAGAGACAAAAGCATGTCAGAAATCCCTGTACAGTTAGAAGTGTCAGGAGAGCTGGGCCTAAGGACAAAGGCCTGTCCTGGTGGATGGGGCCATGACTCAGTAGCAGGGCACTAGATCCCCAGGGAGGGGCTGGGGGCGTGGCTCAGTGGTAGAGCCCCTGCCTAGAATCCCCCAGTGAGGGGCTGGGGGCGTGGCTCAGTGGTAGAGCCCTGCCTAGAATCCCCCAGTGAGGGGCTGGGGGCGTGGCTCAGTGGTAGAGCCCTGCCTAGAATCCTCCAGTGAGGGGCTGGGGACGTGGCTCAGTGGTAGAGCCCCTGCCTAGAATCCCCCAGTGAGGGGCTGGGGGCGTGGCTCAGTGGTAGAGCCCCTGCCTAGAATCCCCCAGTGAGGGGCTGGGGGGTGGCTCAGTGGTAGAGCCCCTGCCTAGAATCCTCCAGTGAGGGAGCAAGGGTGTGTATGACTCGTCCAGACAGTGACTGTCTACAGGAGGTAGGAGGAAAGGAAAGCTGGGCAAGGACAGCCGAGGTGGACAAGGGGAACCGGACAAACTTAGGAGATCAGGTTAAGATACCCAGCAGGAACAGGAACATGCTCCCATCCCCACCACCTACCACCAGATCCTAGAAATTTTCAAGCTAAAATTAAGTCCCCAGCCACATTAGAAAATGAAAAGCAGTGGGCTAGATGGTTTGTGGCATCTGGGAGAGAGAGAGCAGATGGGAGCAATTTGGAGGTGGAGAGCCCAGCCGGAAACCTGCAGCCAACAGGACCAGGACTAATGACGGGGACAGCTTGGGAGTAGCACATGTGGTCAGTGTGGAAGGGAAGCCAGGTGACTGTCAGAGGCTAAGGCAGAGCAGAGTAGAAGTGGTAAGGGATAGCTGTAAGCGTCAAGTCTCTATCCCTGCTGGTGTCAGGAGTAAGGCACTGCCTGGCGGTGGTGGCTGTGGCTCAGGCCTTTAATCCCAGCACTTGGGAGGTAGATGCAGGTGGATCTCTGTGAGTTTGAGGCCAGCCTGGTCTACAGAGAGAGTTCCAAGACAACCAGGGCTACACAGAGAAATCCTGTCTTGAAAAACTGGGAAAAATAACAACCAAAGCATCCGGCATTGTAGAGAATGGTGGTACATGCCTACAGTATGAACACTCTGGAGGCTGAGGCGAGAGGACTGCAGGTTTGAAGCCACCTGGGCAACGCAGTGAGTTCAAGGCCAGCTTGGACTATCTATATAGCACAAAGACTCATAAACTATTGACCTTCAGTACACCCTCAAGGTCAGATAGCTGGATTCTTCTGCACACCCTTTCCCCACTTTTTTTTTTTTGCCCAAATAACCAGTGTACCAAAAGTCAAGTTATCAATAAACAGAAGTAAACTCATAGAAAACAAACAAACAAACAAATTCCAAGACTTAAATTATTTGAAGAGAAAGATACAAAGGCAAAGGCACCAACTCAACAGGCAATAAGTCACAAGGAAAAACAGCAGAGGAACCAACCAGATAAATGGAGGGAACTTTTTTTTTAAAGACAAGGTCTCATGTAGCCCAGGTTGGCCCTACCCTCGCTATGTATATGAGGATTACCTGTAACTTTTGATCCTTCTGTCTCTACCTCCCAAGTTCTAGGATTGCAAATTTATTCTGCCATATGATGCTGGGAATCGAACCCAGGGCTTTTGGGATGCTAGACAAGTATTCTACCAACTGAGCCACATTCCTTAGCATGGAGAGAGCTTCTAAAAACTTAATATCCTCAAAGAGATAAAGTAACGTACCACATGTAAAATTACGGGATGAAAACTTCTGATCTCTTAGAAATGAAGTAAGTCAGGCATGGTGGCACACACCTGGATTCTAGGTACTGGAGAAACAGGCAGGAGGATCAGAACTTCCAGCTGAGCCCAGGCTAGCTTTTCAGTGGGTCCTTTTCTCTAAAAAATGTAATAAGGGTATGAGGAATGGCTCAGTGGCTGAACAGGCTTGCTGCTTTTCCAGAAGGTTCTAGTTCAGTTCCCAGCACTCACATGAGGCAACTCACAACTGTCTGCAACTCCAGCTCCAGGGAACCTAACACCCACTCTGCATGTCACCACGTACATGTACACACACAGAAATACACATAAACAAAAATAAATCCTTAAAAAAAAAGCTTGCCATTGGCAGCACACACCTTTAATCCCAGCACTCAGGAGGCAGAGGTAAGTAGATCTCTGGTAGATCTCTAGGCTAGCCTTGTCTACAGAGCAAGTTCTAGAACATAGGGAAACACTGTCTGGAAAAAAGAAACCTACAAAGAGACCAGGTTGGATGGCACATACCTGTAATCTTAGCACTTGAGAAGTAGAGGCAGGAGGATTAGGAGTTCAAAGTCATCCTCAACTACCTGTTAAGTTTGAGGTCAGCCTAATCTACATAAAACTCTAACAGAAAGAAGGGGAAAAGGAGAAAGGAAAGAGGGAGGATGAAGAAAATGAAAGAGACAGAGAACAGTACAGAAAATTCACCAGAAGAAACACACAACGTATAGAACTCCACTAAAGCTACAGTAAGTTATACTATGGCAAAATTTTAGAGCAATTCAGGTGCAAAGAATATACTAAATGCCATAGAGAGAAAAAGAAAAAAGAAAGCTGA